AACAGTCTCCAGAGGAAAGGGAAAAAAGGTTGTATTCAGCTCGTTTAATTAGACGCTCAAACGCGTCTGGCTTCCTTTGAAATATTCCAAAAACCATAAAGTCTACGGAACCATTCGCCGAGCGCTAACGCTGGCCTTCAACAATTCGTTATTTTGGTGAAAGCAAGCGTACTAACAATCATTACTTATTATAGAATTTTCAACTCTATCTCTTTATTGATAAGGTATCTTTTAATGTTGTAGGGTTTGTTGTAACTGAAGATAGAAATTGATAACGGTAATTGTATTTTCGTCATTCAAATGTCACTATTCCAATGTTATATGAATTTTGTTATTTTTTTAAATGTAAAACTAATTCAAAACTGCTGCCTAATCTGAAAATATATACATATTCGCATTTATATAATAAGTGAGATGTTATTGCTATGTTTAATATACTAGCTTAAGCCCGCGACTGCGACCGCAATTAAAAAAAAGTCGTAAGATAGCGTATGTGTTCTTCCAGACTATCCTCTACCTCTATGTCACATTTCATCGTGATCCGTTCAGCAGTTTATGCTACAAACTTTAACAAATTTCTATCCACCCGTTTAAACTTTCGCATTTATAAAATAAGTGAGATAGTAAGATTGTCATGTAGTAATTGGTGTGCATTTTCTCACAGAAACGCACAAAAGAAAGCTGGTATCATACGCACGGCTGCGTCGACCGTCACCCACAATACTTATTCCAACCATTTGTGGTTAGATGTAATATTTTTAAGCAATTTACTAAAGGAAATAAATATTTATAAATTTACTATAAACAGAAATTACTAATACCACACAAATTTGCTCAGTTTCAAATTAAAATTGTTCTATTGGATTTAACAAATTCAATATAAACTAAATAATTTAAAATCCAATTAGAAAGTAACACGGTCAAACAAATCACTTATATTTAAATACAAAGCCTGAGTCTGCAGAATTAAAAGAACCCATTCAGCCTCCCATTAAGGCTTATGACCTTATTCCTAATAGCTTCGACCTCGCGGATCGTATCGGCTTTTGAGACGCGCCGACCCCGGTCGAGTCCTCGCGGCTTTTGATAGTTAATTAAACGTCAGGAGGGAAATATTCACGTCATTAGGAAAACTCGAGACGCTGCAGTCGCGGCCGGAAGCGTCGCCGCCTCCCGCCCCACAGTCCCCGCGGAGCCTGCGCCTCCCCACTTCCGCACGACATTTGGCACCTACCATATGTTACTGATATTTAGTAAATACAGTCACTAATAAAAGATTTCTTACGTAGTATGTTATTTCTAATAAATTTTATGATAGACATATTTTTGTATCAACTTTGCTAACCGTTAAGAAATTGTCGCAATTCAAAATTGTATTACTACAGTTCTCTGCTTATTTGAGAATACATTAATATTATTCGTTATAAATCTGTCGTGGCGTCAGAAATGAGTAATAAGTGGAAATTCACCAGATTCGTAATCGAGTTATCATAGTAGTAACCGCACGCACCCCCCGCGTGAAGTAGTGAATGTTTCTAGTGAATTTGAATTTATGCCGGTGTATGTCGTCTACTGTCATTTTACATTTGTTTCTATCTTCACCTTAACGAACGGATAATTATATTTGAACATTGTTCAACATAAATGAAATTCAATGTTAAAGATTACTGCTTAATAAAATAAATATGCTCTAATTCACGATGTATATTTTACTTGTCTATGTCTATGAAAATATGAAGTGAGTTTTTGAACAAGACGTAACGTTTAGGCCTAATTCTAGTCCCTTTCTCTTTCCACCCTTTTCTTAATAGGAAAGGATGGGAAGGAAAAGTGGATTTGACAGTGGAGGAGACACATAGGAAGGGGAAATGTCCTCTTTATGTGCGTCTCCTCCTCCGTCAATTAAGGGTAGGCAACGCATCTGCAACTTCGGATGTTTATGGGCAGCGGTCGCTTTCCATTTCGGTGGATTCAGGTGACCGCTTGCTCGTTTGCTGCCTTATATTATAAAAACTTACATACTACTACTCTCTACTATATACGATACTACTCGTATATGCTAGTTTTTTCCAAACACCATTACTTAAACCACAAAACTACATTAATAATTAACTAGCTGTTGCCCACGACTTCTTCTAGACTATGCTCTACATCTATGGCGAGTTTGTTGGAGATCCGTTCAGTCGTTTAGACTACAAACTCTAGCAAACATCCATCCCTCCATCCATCCATCCATCTAAACTTATGCATTTAACTATAACATTATAATGTGATTTAATTATGAGGTTTCGTCTAATTGTATTGCTAATTTAACACCTCCAAAGCCTTTGTTGTGGGCTGTTATATTTGATTATAGTTATGTCAAACGTTACGCGGTTAACCATAATTTTCTTAATATTCAGTAATGTATTAACGCGACCTCTGGGGACACTTTATTAAACCAATACTTGATTGATGGTAAATGATTTCGTATTTTATTAAACCCTTGGGGTTTTGTTGCTTAAATATTTTACAATCATCGTTGAATGTAAATTTAAAGTAACTTCGATGGTTAATTATCGTATATTAATGCGAAATTTTACAACACAATTTATACATTAAAACGATAAATTAAGATGTATCTGAACACACAATAGACAAACAAAATCTACAGTTATTTTATGGTTACTTTCAAATTAACACAGAAATTAGTATTTATAACCTTAATTTTAAAACTAAAAATAGTTTTATCGTCATCCGATTACCTTAATCTTAGAGCGGGCGCACACCTTGGACTAAAATATCGCATAACTGCTATGCGATTGTCTATTGTTTCGTATCCAATTCAACTGTTTAGTTGCACAACTAAAAATCGAGTTGTGTGCACCTCCACATAAGCTCATAGGAATCAATGCGCGGGTAAAATATGCGATACTTTAGTCGAAGTAGTGCGCCCTCTCGTAATCTGCTAATCATGTCAAAGTTACTAAATTTGAACTTTAATTATCTACTAAACTAGTTCTTAACTATTAATGTCAACTATTACCTAATACATATTACATCAAAGTCAATAATTAGATAAGATTTATTCATGATTTTAAAAAAATTGTGATTAAAAATTTTAAAATTCGATCAGTGATACCCACTCTTGTAACTTCAATGTGCCCGTATTCGACATCCTTTACCTCGTTATGGCGTCCGGTCTCTATAGTTCCCATGTTTTTTTAAACTGACAATGAGGTTACGGTTTTTGGTACAGCTGTTAATCACGTAAATTTCGCACATGTTTTGCAAATTTGAAAGTGGAACTGTTTTTTTTATAAAATGACCAGTATTAAAAATCACATGAATTTCAAAAATTAGATTTTTTATTGGGGTTAAAATTTTTTATTGAGTTGAGGTTATGAAAGTTCCGACACGAACGAAATGCTTGGAGTACAAAGGCACTCCCTTGACCTCTTTACGACTTTTTAGAAGGTCCTAGTTCTAATATGCGTACGTGCTGGCGCCGCAATGGCCACGATAAAGAACCTCAAACCCCTCGCCCTCCGCGGACCCTCTCACCCTGGTCAAAAATATAAGGCCAAAATTAAATTCCTCACGGTCCATAAAGTATAGAATTACGTCATTATGCGCACACAGGATTCTCTCTTTTATTCTCTACAACGACACAATTTTACAATATATAATTTTTAGGGCCTATCCCACCACTGGCTGATAAAGGCTCAGATAGGTTCAAAATACGGGATTGTCAGATAAGGTAACAAAATCCGATATTTCCATCATATTTTTACACGTTGGATTGTTATCAGACAAACAATTTGGTGGGACAGGCCCTTAACTTACTATATTTAGAAAACATTGGTCATATTTGTAAACGGTAAAAGATGCTATTGATGTAGCCTGGATATTTTCGTATCAAGTCATCAAACATTCTAAGACTCAATACAGGGAAGACGCCATTGTTCCGTTTTAAAGTTTGAGATATCTAATGTCGCGTGACGGCGGCGCGGGAATTTTGATAATCCCTGCTCGAGCGATTCTCGACCTTAAGACCCGAATAATTCAACTTAATTTAATGGCACATGACGAGCTAGCGGAAATTCGATTGTGATATTCGATTGAGCCATTATAGACCTTATGACCGATACTTAAGAATTCAATTTGATAAACGTGGATAACACATGTTCGCACGGGGAATTCGTGAGATTATAATAGGTCATTGTAGATGCATCCCTTAGATTTAAACAAGATAGAACTCTTCTTCTTGTAGGTTTAAGGTTTATTTTTGTTGTGTGTGATATTATCTAAGGATGGAACCACGGCATATGCTTAAAGTTCCTAACATTTTCATTTAATGGTTGAACCGTTGTCTAAAATTACCCAGTTGTGTCGCGCGGCGTCACGACTGTGTGATCGCGGCGTCTTCAACGTTTCATTATCTAATATTCTCATAATTTTACCACATCTTCTCAACAACGTACAACGAATTTTCTCCAACAAACGTTTAACTTTCAACCATCGTATTGAGTGGCATTGATAACGACAGCAAAACACCTTTTTTCCTACTATTTCGTTCGTGCAGAATTAAAAAAAATTGAGCAAGCATGGTCTTTGTGTTCCTTGTGGCGTCGGTGGCTCAGTGGTTTGAACACTTGACTTGTAATC